GCAAATATCGCAGAATTCATGTCTGAAATTCTGAAATATGTTTTCAACATCTTCATGAGATCCACCTGGAAAATCCTTGTACACTTTTCCAGGCTTTCCAGGCCTGGAAAACATTGAAGCTTCGTGGATGATTAACCTCCGTCTCTGCTTTGTCTTCTTCTTCACTGCAGCAGCAAACAGCCTCGGCGCCCGGCCACCGAGCTCCTTGCCAAACGTAGCTGTCCCTCCTGCCCCAGTTACCATGGAAACGCATCGCCTTGACCAATGGGCAGATCAAACCAGGTGAAGGGGGGAGGGGGGGGATGTTTCTGTGGGTTTGACGGAGGCGGTTTTGTTAAACAGAGACACAGACAGGCTCAGGGTTCAGGTGCACTCCTGACACACCTGGAAAAGCTCGAACCTGCTTATTAAACAGCCACCAATCAACACGCTCAGAAGACTCTTGGTTTTTGGTTGTTCTCATGTATGTGACGCGTTCAGTGAGCACACATGGAGATCTGAAGGGATGTCGTCATAAAAATGTCTTTAGGCTGAGAAAGCTCCTCGGAGTGTCCTGAATGATCCTAAACTAGTTTGGATGGGTCTGTTTTGGTCACTCCGTGGTGAGAATTCCCAGCGCTAACGCCGTTCACCCCTGGGTTCTCTGGGTTCAGGCCTGAAACCGAGACATCACGTGGCTCTCGTCTCACAGCCAGCTTCAGATCTTCACACAGGACCCGTGAAAGCATCCGTTTATCGTTTCCTTCATGCAGATAAAATTTTCAGGAATTTTAATTCTTACTTCAGGAAGCTTCGGACCAAGTTTCCCACGATTACTTTGCTGCACAAATGTTCTCACAGACCTCAACAAACACTGAAAATGCCTCAGCAGCAGGGCCAGCACTAAAACAAATCTTTATTACGTTTTTCGTGTGTTTATTTAAGAAAGAAAGATAAAGATGTTTGATTATCCGCACAGATCCACGTGAACCGAATAATCAGCTGAAGCTGAAAATGGAGGCAAATCAAATCCTGTAAGTCACAAACTGACTCCAGGCTGGATTCAAATGTGCACAGAACTGGTTTGACTGCCGGCCTCTACACGGGCTTTCAGAGGTGTTGCCACACATGACCATCAGTGATCTGCATGTGGTCACTGTTTGGTCTGAGTCAATTAAACCCACCGATGAAAAAACAAGCCAGTGATTTTCCTGCGGTGGAAGAGCAGAGTGAAGCCCTCGTGTGTTTTGGAGACAAAGGTTAGATTAGTTCCTGTGCAGCGATGCTTCAGCTAAAGCGATGAAAGGTCATGTGAGAGCATGTGGAGGTGCTGATTGGTCTGCTCGGTCAGTCGGAGTGCTGTGTGAAGACTGGAGCAGGTGGAGACATAAAGGAGCCCGGGAGCGTCTGAACGCTGCAGCAGGTCTGCGTCGCTCCATTTGCATAATCATTCATAGTGTGTGTGTGTGT